GAGGAAGGAAGTGCGCAGCAAATCCAGGAGACCCTTGTGCCCCAAACCAGGTGCCCAGGACATGTGGCAGAAGGTGGCTACCATCCTGGTCCTGCCCAGGAAGGATGGTGCCACAAGGAGAGCCACATGCTGAAGGCTGGGGAACCTATGGGTTCCCAGGAGCAAGGCCTGCTTTGCGTGCGGATTCTCCCTCCCACCTCTTTCTGGGGTCTGCCTGGCCTTGGACTTCTCCCTGGTTTACACCTGAGAAACTCCAGAATAAAGGTGGGGTAAGTTTGCTTGAGTCAGACACTGGGTCCAGGAAACACATGAGGCCGGCGGGAGGACAAAGGACAGAAAGCACTTGTCCTGGAGTTCAGGTGTTGTGCCCTGCATTCATTTGAAGATGTCCCTGCTGAAATGAGGGTCTGAGCATGCCTGTGAACAGTGCCCCTCGTGCTCACATGACCTCTGTGTGTGCACCTAAGAGGTCTGCCAGGCAGGAGCAAGCTCTCTGCTGTCTACTGTTTTAGACGGGCACTAATCCCACGATGAGGGCCCCACCCTGATGACCTCATCTCATCACAACTGCTTCCTAAAGGCCTCCTCCCCACATACACCACACTGAGGTAAGGCCTTCAATATATGAACGGGGGGCCACAAACATTCAGCCCTGACCACCATGGTAGAGATGACACCATCTAAGGAGTATCAGCCTACTCCTGTGGGGGTGAGGCCTACCATATCCCCTTTATTTTACTTGCCACTGGAGAATGAGGGTTTCCTTTGCTTTCTTCCAGCAGAGTCTATGACCTTTCGAGAGACACAGGCAAATTCTAGCAGGGCTACAGAAACCCTCCACACCCCCAGCATGGTGTGGACAGCGGGGATGGTGCTCTGCTTGGTGTCTGACCGGTAGGCAAAATCATTCTTCTTCTAGGAAGGACGGCCGGGAGTGAAAACACTACAGACAGGAGACAGAACTCACAGGCAAAGGGGGCTCACCCAGTGGGGATGCATGAAACATGGGCCTGAGAACTGCCAACCCCGAGGAGGCTACCCTCAGGCACCAGGATGGGGCCAGCACACCCTAGCGAAGCAGAGGGTCTGGGCACTGGGCCCTTGGCCACACGGAAAGGCAGCAGCCCCAGGCCTCTGCAAGTGTGGCACAGTGTGACCAAGAAGCAGAAGGGAGGAGGTCCCCTGGGAGGTGCCCAGCTCCAAAGAGCCCATCATCCCATAGGGACTCTGGCTGGGACTCCAGCTGAGTCAATAGCATTCCTGGGACCTCAAAGTCAGTCGGAGTAAATTCTGACAGAGTTGCAACAAATGAAAATTTTTATTAAGCAAAGAAGCTAGAATTAGCTCCCAAGCACCTTTGTTGAGATTCTAAGTTTACACAGTTGGAGACCCATTCCTGCTGGGTTTCCCTTAGGCTAACACTGAGCACTTCTTACTAGAATGCAAACCACTCAGTCAACTTTTGTTGGCATAAAAATGGCATTTAACTTGAGAACACTGTAGCCAGCCTGCCCATGGTAGATCATGTACAGGCGAAGCTGGGGGTGGCGGGCAGGGGACAGCAGTCAGCAAACTAGGTATCAAAGGCTGCTTCTGCAGCATAACTTCCAACAAACAGGCTATGTTTAACAAACAAGAGCAAATACAACTTCTGGGGAAAAGGGAAATGTTTGCCCCCACCAGACACCAAGGGGCAGGGCCATGGCCCGCCTGCACTGCCACCTTCCTCTCATGGCTGGGGAGGAGGGCTCTGCTGACCCTGCAGATCCTTCAAGTTATACTCTTCTACAGGAATGAAGCGTCTCCCTTCGGGCTGGTTCATAGGAGAGGCCAGCCCACCTGCCTCGGGTGCTTCCTTGGGCTGAGAAAAGAGGAGGAGGTGAAATGCTTGGATGGAGCCACCCTCATGGTGTAGGGGGGATCCCTTGGGCTGAGAAGTGCCTCTGTGCACCCTGAGCCTGCAAGGTGCTGGGGGACGGGGGAGCAGAAAGAAAGGCTCCTCCCCCTCTTGCCTCTCCCCATCAGCAGCAGCGGACCTCCACCTTCCCAAACCTGCGTTAAAGCTGCTGGGTCTCTGTCCATCCTCCCACACCCAGTCCTTCCATAGCCACAGCCCAGGGCCCTGGACTCAGTCGCTTCCAAAGCTGACCCTGATTTGCAGCTATTTGATCCATTTTAACAAAGTGACACATGCTGAAGTGTGCAGGAGAATGATGGAAAGACAGCATTGCAGCAGGTGGCTGTGTGGCTCTTTTCCATTTTGAGGAGCAGGGGTCACCAGGGCTCCGTTTAGACATGAGGGAGGGCTTGAACAAGCCTCACTCAATGGGATGAAGGAGGAGGAGGAGGAGCAGGAGTGCTGGGCTCTGGGCAGTGGACCTGAGATGGGAAGGCTGGCCTCAGGGTGCAAGACCCAATGCTGGCCTGCCCGGGGTCACTCTACTACTTTCTGCCAATGAGCAACCTCACGGCACCCGATTCTCAGCTTCTCCCGGCTACCTGCTTAGCTCACTCCCACTCTGACCTGCAGGGCCCCATCAAAGATGATCAATCTTAAAAGCAGGCATGAGGAAGGGTCCTTCCGGAATGCAGTTCGGCAATGGAACCACTGGACCCATTGACCCTTCTGGCTTCTTTCTGGTGGCCATGGTGGCTGGGCTGTGAAGATGTGTGACAACAATCATACATTTAGTTCTTTGAAATAACTAAGGTCTCATTTTCCTTTCACTCACTGTTTATGTATCTTTGTTTTGTTGCTGTTGTTGCTTGGGGGGGGGTGTTACGCTATTTTAAGATTTAGAATGCCAGTGTGTAAACACCTTTCAGAAGTGATGTTTCTCGGTCAGGTGGAATGTATATGGTCCACGTAGCACCTGGGGGAAGATTCGTGGGAGTAGAATCCTGTGTTATTGCCATCTGGTCCAGCTCCCATGCTGGAAAAGTGGCCACTGCAGGCCTCCAAGGTGCATCTGTCCCACGTAATACAAAGCCCTCTAAGATGGACACCAAGTGCTCTCAACAGAGGGGCCTTGGGTGCCTGCTTTGGGTTGTTGTTTCCAATTTGAGGAAGTACACCCATACATGGCTCTAGATTTTGTAGCAGAACTGAAGATCCACAAAGGCAGGTTGGGGGCCAGGCATGGGCAAGGAGATCAGCATTAAAATCACTGCCTGCCTGGCTCACTCTACTCAAGGGATTTTTTTTTTTTTGAGTCAGGGCCTCGCCATGTAGCCTAGGCTGGCCTTGAACTCACTTCTAGCCCAGGCTGGCCTCGAACTCAAGGGAATCCTCCTGCATCAGCCTACAGAGTGCTGGAATGACAGGCGTGCACCACCACGCCCGGCCCATCAGGGAGCATATTTTCAAGAGCAGTGCAGAAGTCGGATTCTGCAGAGCCCCACTGCGGCAACCCACTTTTTCAGAGTCCTTCGGAGAACAGTGGCGCTCAGCAGCGCATGCTGCAGTCATGTGAGTCATCGTTCTCTCATGCACTGAGCTCTGAAGTCTGGATTTCACACACACAGTGCACTCCTAGAGTGTGTGCATACAGGGAAGAGACGGAATCCCTCCTGACCTGGGCTGGAGGCAAAGGAGAAGGCAATAGCGTACCTGCTGCCAGGTGGCCTGGTCACGAGAGGAGCTCTGATCACTAACAGACCAACTGTCCAGCTCCAGGAAGACATCCTATGAATCTGGGGAGTCTAGCCACACTTGTATGGAGTCCTCTGTGTTGAAGTCAGAGGGAGGACTTACAGGTGACCGTGACAAGGCGGGAGTGGAAATTGACTCAGAGCTATTTGCCTATGCGGCTGCACCCATGCAGGTCCCCTGTTGTTCTGCAGGATGAATACTGCAAGAGAAGAGAGCTGACAGTGACAGTGACAGGGGTCTCAGAGTATTGGCCCTCGGTATGTGAGGGCCACTAGCAGGTGCGTGAGGCACACTGCTTTTGGTGTAAACATAGCGAGTATGGCTGCTGAGAGGGATCACCTCTGCTTGTATTGCTGCTGCTTTTATTTGCTTTTTGGTTTTGCTTTTTGCTGGGCAGAGCCTTCTTTTTCTGGCGCTTGGAGCCAATGACTTTACTGTTGAACAGAAACGTGTGTGTGCCTCCATAATGCCACACAGGACTAAGGCTTTATGTGCCGTGGCCATTGACGGCAATGTGAAGAGTGTTTCACTTCCACTAGCCTCACATCCATTGTCACTGCCATGAAGAGCCTTTCACCTCAACTACTGTCATCACCGGTTCGAGGGAAGGTGGACAGTGGACCTGAAAGCCCAGTCAACTCTGACCACTCTACCACTCGGCAACTCCCCTACAGACGCCCTGTGCCCAGGGTGGGCGGAGCCAAGTCACGTGATTTCAGAGTTTGGGTGCTAGTTCCCTGGCTTGGAGGCTTCCTCATCTAGTGCTTTTCCTGTAGGAGATCCTCTGGTCCACGCACCGATGCTTAGTCAGATACCACATATACAGAGGCAGGGTGGCCAGTGGCCACAGGGCAAGAAGAGTTGGCAGCCAGCTGCTACTCAGAAGAGGGCTGCTGGCAGCCCATGGCCGAGTCATTCATCTGTGATCTCAGGCCTGGTGTCCAGTCTTGAGGGGAAAGCAGGCACACCAGCCCCTCTCCCTGTTTCCTACACCTCTTAGCTGGGACTCCCATCTCCCCCATTCTCAGAGTCTTTATCTTGATTGCTGCTAGAGGGTTGTTGCTCAGTGCTCATTTGAAGGGGTGAGACTCTGAACTGAGTCTGCACAGGTACAACAGAGTTACTGTGGAGACGCATAGATATGCCAGGCTGGCTTTACAGATGTGTCCGTACCACCTGGTTCTCCGAGATGACACCATTCTGCTGCCTCAGCTGCTCCTGCACCTGCTGTTGTTGTGGCTGCTGCTCCTGTCTCTGCTCTTCCTCAAGCACCTGATTCTGAAGCATCCATGGCTCCTCCTGCTGCTGCACCTGCAGCTTCTCCTGCTGCTGCATCTTTGGCTTCTCTTTCTCCTACATCTGCAGCTTCTCCTGTGGCTCCATCTTTGACTTCTCCTGCTGTTGTAGCTGTAGCTCCTCCTCCTGCTGCTGCACCTGAAGCATCTCCTTCTGATGCTCCATCTTTGGCTTCTCCTGCTGTATCTGTGGCTCTTCCTTCTGCTGCATCTTTGGCTCCTCTTCCTGCTGCTGCATCTTTGCCTTCTCTTTCTGCTCCATCTGCACCTCCTCCCACTGCTTCACCTGCAGCTCCTCCCACTGCTGTACCTGCAGATCCTCCTCCTGATGCATCTTTGGCTTCTCCTCCTGCTGTTCCATCTGCAGCTCCAGCTCCTGTGGCATCAAAGACAAGATGTTAAAGAGCTTCCCACAAAGGTACTCACCACTCCCTCCCATGCCATTCTCCAAGGGCAGAAGGCAGCAGGCATCTTGCCTCTGGGTGACTGCACTGCCTGCCTCTGCCGCTCTGGGGGCACTCACTGCCGCCATGCTCATGCCTTGGTGCACAGGAACATGTATGTCACATGGGACTGCATGAGTTTGGACTCTCCACTCTCCCGGGCAAATGGACTGCAGCCTGCTGGGAAGCCAGGGGCCCCTCAGGCAAGTCCAAGCCCTCACACAAGTTACATGTCCTCTCAGTCATCCAGCTCCAACAGCTCTCCATACCTGGGTGGAGGCTTTGGAAGAGTTCTCAAGTTCCTCAGTGAATGTGCAAAGTTGAAATGCAGAGCAGAAGCATTTGGTGTCCCTGCCATCTGAGAGTGAGAGCTTCACTTTCCCAGGGTGTTGCTTCCTGGACGTTTCCTCCGCAGGCCAGAGGTCAGGACTGCTGACGATGTGGCACAATGTGGTTGGGTGCACCTGTCAGGACACAGTATCACACAGGACTTATTGCTGACTCACCCACCTGAGGACACAAGACTGCCCACAGGAAGTCCATAGGAAACCTGGTGGTATATGAGGCATTCTAGGCACCGCCAAGGCCTGGTGGGCATCTCAGCTCCTGCAGCCAGGAACCGAAGGGCAAAACTGCAAGGCCTTGCTGAAGGCCATGCTAGACAACCCCAACTCCTTGAGAGGTGCCAAGGTCCCTCATTCCTCCTCTTTCTCCTGAAAGCTAGATTCCTGCATTGGCAGAAGCTGCTTCTTTATCATTTCTGGTGCATTCTGCTGGCTTCTGAGGTCAGCCTTCTTCTGAGTGCTCTCTCCTAGCTGCTTTCTGAGTCTGGGGTCAGGGAAAAGCCAGCAAGAAGGCTCTGTGGGGGTCATTTTAGGTCCAGGGAATGGAGGCCTCAAACGACCCTAGGCAGAGGACATCAAATGGAATGAACACATTTGAGAAATGAAGAAAGTGGATCTGACTTCACAGCTGACTGGCTGAGGTGGACAGGAAAGAGATGGGATTCTTGGAAAAGAACGGACAAGGCTGTATGCAGGGCCTGGAGACAACTTCTGATTTCCCTGAACTGTGCTCTGTATACAAACAAGAGAGAGCCACCACAGTCCTGCTCCCCAAAGAACATACAGTGCTAATGATGTGGAAAAGGTACACACATATGCATGCTCTAGAGACCAAAATTAGACTGTGATAGCACACAGTGGCCCTTTGGTGCATTTTAGCCCTTTATGATTCATATAAGTACACAGCAAAGCAGGGATGAGAGGGAGGGAGGGAGTGAGAAAACACCATATGAATTTTTATTTGGATTAAAATTATGTATGTTTTTAGCAGCACAAGTTATAATAGCTAAATATTGGAAGCAACCTATATGCCCATCCAAAAAATAAATGGATAAAGAAATGCAGTATTTACACACAGTGGAGCACTGCTCTGCCATAAAGATAACTGAGTCATCTGTAGGAAAATGGATGTACCTTTAATACTAAGTGAAATAAATCAGTCACGGAAGCTTAAATGGCACATGGTTTCTCTAAGTGAAGAACACAAAGCAGAAATAATTTAAAGAGCAAAATAAAAATAGAAGATAGGAGATAGGGAGATAAACTTTGTGAAGATTGGAAGGGAATCTAGGGATGGGAGGAGACAAGAGGGAGGAGAGGAGAAATGGAAGTAAAAAGGATGAAGACACAGAATGTGTATGTACCAATTCCCTGTGATGAATGTAATTATGTATCACAAACGCACCTTAGTAAAAAGTTTGAAAATTGTCCACTTGCCTTCCCCTTTCTTTTGCTATATACTATATATCTCTTCCCATAACAAACCAAGCATTGATTAGAGCATCTCTCTCTCTGTCTCTGTCTCAGTTCAAGACTAGAAGAAACCAACCTTAATGGAAGGAAGTGTCTCTGCAGTTCCTGGAAAGTGAGCTCAAAAGTTTTGGCTCTAAGCCTTCCCAGAAGAGGTGACGCTCACGCTTGGTGGCGGTGGTGACCTCACCCAGCTGGGCAGGGGCAGTCTTGCCAAGAGGCACACTCGACAGCATCTGAGAGAGGTCTGCTCTGCAGCTTCTAGTGTCAGCCCTAGTTTGATCTTCTCTGTCGTGAGCATGATGACACTTCAAGTATCTGGATAGAGCCATCCTGTTCCTCTCCGTTTTTTCCTTCTCTAGAGTCTTTACTGATCACACAATGGTTCCATCCGCTCCCCCCAGCCTGGTGGCCTTTCCTGGTACATTCCAGGTGGCCATTACCTGGCACCCAGAAGCAACCCAGTAATGCACTGCACACAGGCAGATGACATCCATTCCTGGTTATTTTGGCAATTTTAAATAAAGGCTACACTGAAAGTTTAATTACAAGTGGATCCAAAGGAGAAGAAAACTTGTGAGTGGTGAAGAAAGAACCATAACTTCTGAGCACAATAAGGACATAAATAAGGACAGAATGGATTCCCATGGAAATGTCCTTTTAAATAGTTCAAGGAACTTTCATAGCAGTCTGCAATCCAAGGCAAGATCTTTTCATGATGGAGAAAGTGCTGGGCTTGGTGGCACATGCCTGTATTCCTAGCTACTTGAGAGGCTGATGACAAGTTAGAGGCCAGGCTGGGCCACTTAGCAGGATCCTGTCTAAAGATTTAGAAAAACATAAAAAGAGCTGTGGATGTAGCTCAGGAATCCTTGGGTTTAAACTCCAGCATCACACACACACACACACACACACACACACACACACACACACACGTAGATGGAGAAACTGAAGATCAGGAATTTGCCAAGGTCAAAGTCCTGGGGCCAAACTCTAACAAATGTCTCCCAGCCCTCAGTTTTTCGTCAAATGAGGCTGTGTTGGACATTCGAGATGGAGTGACTCATGTCTGGCTGAGTAATCACTGCACACAATGCCATGTAACTGGCCATAAACTCCCTTCCTGGGCTGCCAACCCTGGTTTGAACAGCCCTATCACAAAGATGACTACCCAAACGTGTGACTCTGTACACATATTCAGGGGTAGAAGAGATGCAGAGCAGTTAACCCAGCTGTTTGGATTAGGCTTTGGGCCATACATCGATGTTGACACTTGGAGCCTGCGTTCTAACCTAGCACAAACTCCTCAAGCCAGCCTAGCTTGTGGTATGTGTGTTAGCTGAGCCAGCATGGATGGGCAGGGAAACTGTCTTCCTTTGAGGTGCTTACCGGCCCCTCATAGGTGAGGAGGAGTGGGGTTCTAAAACTTCTGCCTTTTCATAGCAGTTGGACTTCCTCTTTGGGTCAGACTTTTTCACAGAGGCATCAAATGTCCTTGTGTAGTTCACACGAAGAAGAGGACGGGGCTTTGGTCTCACTTAGAGAACCTCTAACTTTCCTGTTTGCAAGGCCCCTATGTTCTCGGCTGCATGTGAAAATCCACTCCACCAGAAATAGTGATAGTTTTAAAAAATAAAGAGCAGGTTTTCTGCAAAGGAAACCGGGCACACAAAGGGGATTTTGGGGCTTTGCAAGGTCAGCACCCCAGGCGCATGTGTATGTGGAGCCAGACTGCAGAGGTACCTGAGTGCCGGAGCCGGTAGCCATGCCTGAGGAGGGGTGGTCCTCCTGCATTTCTTCCTGCACTGCCAGCTCCATCAGGTCCTCAGGCACCATTGGCTCCACCAGGATCTTGCTCACCATGGGCTGCATCAGGGCTTCCTGCACCATGGGCTCCATCAGGGCCTCCTGCACCGCGGGCTCCATCAGGTCTTCCTGCGTGGGCTCCTCCCAATTCATCAAATCCTGGGATTCCTCTAGGTAGTTGGAGTCCACTAAGAACTCGATGTCAGTTGAGTCCTGGCATCTCACATCCATCATACTTTCCAGTGCAAAGGCGTGAAATGTTGTACCTGAGGAGGAAATCACAGTGGAGTTCATAACTAAGACAGAAGAAGTTCCAATGTTACTACTAAAGAGACTATATAACAAGACAGACACTACAGCTGCACTTTCCATTAAGGACAAGACTGCCAGGTACCAGGAACCATTCAGAACAGTATTTCAAAAGTCATTCACATTTGAAAATGAAGAAAAAGGAGGGTGAGTTTGAATTTGCCTCTGCCCATCTCCCAGCCTATGCTGGTGCCTGAACCCTCTCCCAGGCGTCAGTGTTGTTTCATTCTAAAGTTCATTTGCCTCAGTGGCACCATCCAAGTGATTGAACCAAATTAAACCTAGTCAGTCATAGGCCACTTCTGAACAACTGGGGTCCCCAGAATGTGGGACCACAGAAGTATGCAAAGTGCTCAAGGAGGTGTCATGACATGACTTTGCTTTGACAGCTCTGAAAAGCACTGCAGAGAATGTTACAAGTGGTGCAGTCATTTTGGAAAACAGTTTGACAATTTCTAAAATAAAGTTAAATACACCCTTCTCATGACCCAGTAGTCCTATGGCTAAGAATTTACCCAAGTGAAATGAAAACATATTGACACAAAATCTCTACACTAATGCTTACAGCAACTTTATTCATAATCATCCTAAACTTGGAAACAACCCAGATATCCTTCTACAGATGGTACGTTCACAAAGTGCAGCGCTACTCAGCAATAAAAGAATGAATCATTGATTTGCGCAACATGGATGAAATCTCCATCGCATTTTGCTAAGTGAAAGAAGCTAGATCAAAGAGGAGAGACATCAGGGCTGCGGATGTAGCTCAGTGGTACTGTGCTTGCCTACCATGTGTGAGGCCCTGGGTTTGATCCTCAGAACTGGAAAAAGAAAAAGATTAGACATTGTACAAAATCATGTATGTAACATTCTGGATAAGGAAACGTAAAGAGATGAAGCACAGATTAATGGTTGTCAGGTGATGGGGCACAAAGGTGGGGTACAGGGAAAGTGCACAAATGTGGTCTTCAGTACCACAGGACCATATATCCTATAGGGCGAATTATGTTGTGTACAGATTTAAAAATGAATGAGGTTAGACTGAAGACTGTGACAAATGAAGCTAACTGCAATGCAAAAAAGTGACATATTCATACCAGAAAGGCTGAGGACCAAGGAAGCTAACCTAGGGAACTCAAAATCGGTGGTGAGTCTGAGCACTGTGAGGCTATGGATAAAGGGAACCACATACCCGTATTAGCTCAAGATGGTGAAACTGTTTCCTGCAAGGGTGAGGTCATCAATTGTGAAAGTATTTTTCATACATTTTATGCATTGAATAAATCAATAAAATATACTGCAGATAATGAGAATTAGATTTCTTACTGTCAACCATAGATATTGCAAATAAGCATAATGAAAAGGTTAAAATGAATTCTGTTGTGCTGGATCAGAGTAGGAGGTACCAGCACATTCTTGTTGTTACCTTTAAAGAAGAGAGAGGACTGTGCAGATGCGTGGGTCAGCATGCATCCACGCCTTTCCTAGCTCTGTCCCCTGAGGGGGACAGATGCAGTGACACACCTGTAGCAATGAAAACACTGGGCACCTGGGCCTTTATTTCCAATTATCATTCTCCAAATAAATAACTTAAGGTTCCTTAGAGAAAAGGTTGATTTCAGTGACCTTGAACAAGTTATAAAATCAAGAAGCGAGGAAAAAAAGATGTGAGCTCGATGGCAGGACAAGGGAGCCAGTTTGAAAAGAGCCACCATGAGAAAAGCAGGGACAATCTGGGAAAAAAAGTGATAACATTGGAGTAAAAGCTAAATTAAAAAAAACATGAATCTATGTTGATATAAATGAGTGAGCAAATGAGCAAATAAAAAACAAGATGAAGGAACACTTTCTTATAGGATTCTAGAAAAAAAGTATATATATGGAATGAAAGCAATAGAAATGGGCCTTAGAATGTCACAGAACTGACCACAGCAGATGAGTTTCACTGATGATACTAAAGTGGAAAGCCCAAGGAGAAACAGGATATGTGCATGTTCTCAAAATAGATGCCTCTAAACCTTCAGTAAGTACAAAGGGGACAAAAGTAACTTGACAATAAAGACACCTAGCCGAAACCACCTACACCAAGCCATCAAGCTGCCATTCTGGGGAATAAGAAGGCCATGCCCAGCACCGAGGAGGCTGCATCGCTGCTGTGCTGTTCTTTCCCAAAGATACTGTTATGGCTTATGTCTAGATGTACCCCAAAGCCTCATGCTTTTCAGAGGTGGCTGGATCTGGAGTGTGTGACGCTGGGAATGATTTATGGTGCAATTTTAGGATTAAGGGTATAGGATTAAGGGTGTGAGTGATACTTTCCCTAGGGGAGGTAGCCTGGATACAATATAAGGGACTGGAAGAGGCTTGTGTGGTCCCTTGCTTGCTTTATAATACCTTCTGTCTGCCATGGACTGTTTCTCCTCTGCAATGCCCCTCTGCCATACCACCCTGCCTTGGAGCCAGCCGATCATAGACTGAAACCTCTACAAACTGTGAGCTCAGTAAACCTTCCCTCCTTTAACCTTGTGTGTCAGGTATTTCTGCCTCAGCAATGAAAAAAGTAACTAAGACAGAATTCAGTACCAGAAAAGTGGGGTTGTTGCTGTGACTGTACCTAACCATGTGGTTCAGAAGCCTCTGGAGCTGGCTTGTGGGAAGAAGGAGAGTTAGTAAAAGTTTTTAGATGCCCGCTGAAAAAGTAGAATTGGAATGCCCAAGGCTGTACTTGATGGGAGATTCTGGTCAGAGCTCAGAAGATCAGAAGACTGATAGAAATCCTGCTGGTAAAGACCAGGCTCAGGAGGTTTCTGCTGGAAAGGACTGTTTTTGGATTCCAGACAATGTGTGCTGTATACCTTGGTAGAAAGTTTGCCTGCATTTTGCTCATGTTCAGAGACTTTGCCTGAGACTAAGATTAAGGGCAGCAGACTAATTAATCTTGTAGAAGAAATTTCAAGACAGTCTAATGTTGAGGTCGTGGCACGGATAGTGTTGGGGGTTTTAGCCAGATTTGTGTTGAGAATCAAGAGCAAAGAGCCCAGCAGAATGATTCAAAATGTTTTGACATTGGCCAGAAAAGAAGCTCCAGTAAAGTTGCCACCTGCAAAGATGGAACAGAGGAGAAAAAAACTAGCAAGAAAAAGCCAAATAATTCAGAAGAAGACAACAGAAAAGATGGCCTGAGGACATTATAGGAACCAACAGCACTTTAGCCTTTAGAACCTCAGAGTTGCAAAACTGAAAGACGTTGCTTTGAGAAGAGAGCCCCCGGGCACTGTGTTCCAGAATGACAGTGCCCTAGGGTAGTTATTCCTTAGGATTTGGTTCATAGGCACTCATCCCTACAGCCAAGAGAGAAGGAGGCCTGGCTACTGCTCCAGCTGGTAGCAGACCTTGGCATCATCCACGTGGTGCTGCTTTTAGGTGCATGCAGAATGCAAGAGTTGTGGGGTCAGGAAGGCTTCCACCCAGATTTCAGAAGAAGGCCTTAGGGTGGGTAGCCTAGATAAAATATAAGGGACAAAAAAAGGCTTATCTGGTTTCTTGCTTGCTTTGCTACCTTCTGCCTGCATGGACTGTTTCTCCTCTACAATGCCTGTCTGCCATGCCACCCTGCCACAGAGCCCGCGGACTATGGACTGAAACCTCTACAAAGTGTGAGCTAAATAAACCTTTCCTCTCTTAAGTTTGGGTGTCAGGTATTTTGTCTCAGCAATGACAAACACAGGTAAGAGAGGTGCTACCTGGACCACATCTTGAGGAGTCATCAGGCAATTCCAAATTGAGGGACACTCTAAAATTTCTGGAGTACATTTTTCAAATGTATGAAGATCATGAAAGACAGGGAAAGACTGAGCCCCTGTCAAAGACTGGAGAAAACTAAAGATACATGTTATGTAAATACAGTGAGGAATCCTGGCTTGGATGCTAAGAACAAGAACATTCGGGGGGAACTGTGGGAAACTGAAGAAAGTCTGTGGTTTTGTGAAGAGCACTACACCAATGTGAACATGCTACTCTGGGCAACCGTTCTTGGGCTGTGTAAGGTGTTACAGTAGGGAAGTTGAGTAAAAGGTGCCTTAAACGAACATTTTCACCCTTTTTCTATTTTTAATGTGTACTATTTCTGCAACTCTTCTGTAAGACCAAAATCATTTCAAAATCAGAAGTTTAGAAAATGGAAACAGCTCACACTGACTTTTTGCAGCCTAGGATTGCATACCTTACTACGATGCTATGGACAGGAGAAGACTGCCTTTCAATCACAGCATGAGCTTGAAATGAACATTTAGAGTACAGTAACACCGCAGTTCATGAACACTTCTGTTCGCGAACAATTCGGCTCCCAAACAGAAGTGTTAAGCAAAATTTTGCTTCCAATCAAGAACTGTGCAGCAGGTGACCAACAAGACCCTGGCCATCTTCCCCACACGAAGAGAACTGCAGCCATCTTCCCCAGAATCATGGAACAAGTTAAGTTCATGGACCAAGGCACCACGGTACTTTGGAAAATTCTGGTTTCTGGATGCTTCCAGTAGAAGACCCTTGGCCAAACTCTTCTATAATGCCTTTTTCACTACCAACCACTTTCCAATTCAGTTTTGCATTTTAACAGTATATTTATGATTGATTCCAAATGAACACAGAATCAAATAATACCACTTTCTGAACCAGCTCTGGAAGTCCTCTTTTGTGTCTTTAGTTGCGCTATCTATCGCAACTGCCTTGCTGTCCTGAACGACTCAAAATGTTTACCTTTCATGGTCATTTTGACACTGCGGACGAGGCAGAATCGCAGAGTGCAGGGTGTGATAGAATAGATGAGGACACACACACGGTAACATTTTCACAAGCCTGCCTTTCCGTTGGATGGCACTTTTCAGCAGCATTTACTGGATTTTTGATCACACTTCATAAAGACA